CCGGCCCGGGAGCGAGTGTTTAACGGAAATCCAAGGTGGGAAAAGACGTTGGGGTTCCATTCCACCCGCATTGCAGGGCGCTCCCGCAGGCAACCTCGCCGGGGCTGCGGGCTTCGAGGCGCCGCGCGGGAGTCGGGGTCTTCTGATCCCTGGCACTGGACGCAGGAATAACCCAAAAGAGAAGGAATTGTGACGCATATCGTACCGGCATGAAGGGCTGTGAGGCTCAAAAGACTTCGGCCGGCGAACCTGGAAAGGAATCCGAAGAGGCAGTGTGGGGTTTCGTCCAATTTCAGGCCGATATCCCGATGCCATCTTGCTTCTACAGTTAAACTGGGTTTATGTAGGGTTAAACCTGAGAAAGCCGGGCACTAGTGAATGAGAGAGCGAGCGCTGCAAATAAATGCCTGTTAAGCTTGCACCTTGACTAAACAGCCTTTTGAAAGAAATTGAGATTCGTATTCCTTTACAGCCGCTGGCAGAGCTGGATTTTTAGCCTCATTTCCCCGCAGAGTGGAGGTAGGCCAGTCGCCACATCCAGCAATTTTGGTGTTTATAAATTCGCCTCCTTTCCCACTTTACTTAAGCAGGTTTTCATAGGCAGTTTACTGCCCCACATGGGAGGAGATTGACCATTCCGCAGAGCAGCTAGTGGATTCAAACCTCATACCTTTGAGAGTGAAGTGCAGCTTCTTAAAACTAAGGGCACCAGAGCCCCTCCTCTTGGTTATTGTGTACCGTAGAGTAGGAACCGACTCAGCTGACCCTCGGATGGGTTTTCAGTGGCAGTTTATAGCTTCACATGGAAGGAGATAGCCCAGCCCTCTCCCACGGAGCCCTAGGTGGCCTCGAACCCTGTGCCTTCACGATTGCAGCGCAGCTTCTTGCCACCAGAGCTCTACGGGCAGATTGTTCAGTAAGCAATGTAAACACGGGAAGCTCCGGTGGTTTAATGGTGAGTTGTGTTGCCAACCTAAAGGCATGCAGTTCAGTCCAGCAGCTGCTGCTCAGGATGAGGATGGACAAGTCTCCTCTTGGACAATTTACAACTTAGGTCAGTGATGTATGAGTTGATTCTGACAAGTGAGGATCAGCTAAGAGTCAATTCTGACTCCATGGTACATAACTGGTTTTGTTGCTAATCCAAAGACTTCCCCTGTCTGGCAATTTCAATCCACTAGTGACTGAAAGGAAGAAAGATGGGCAGTCTCCTTCCCTGTGATTTTACTATTTACAGCCTTTTTTTTTTTTTTTTTATGCAACAGCAGGAGGAGAGGTTTATTGCGGAGCTCCGGGCCGACCCGTATCTCTGGCAGGAGATAGAGGAGTCGACCTCGAGTAGACAAAGTTGGGGTTTTTTATACACTTTAGGGGGATACAACTGGGTATCAGCTTCTCATTGGGTGATGAATATTTACAGCCTCTTAAAACATGCTGGACGGTCAGCTATGAGTGAGTTACGACTCCACAGTAATGAGAGTAGTGAAGGGAGTTGTTACCTAGCCCTCAGAGCGTTGTGATGCCACTCTGATGGTTGGAATCCACCAGCACTCCATGGAAGAAAGATGGACATTCTGCTCCTAAGCGATTTCACAGCCTCTGATACCCCATGGAGGGTCAGCTATGAGTCGGAGGGCAATGAGATTGTGAATCTGTAGTGACCAATTTCACATTTGTTAGCACGTCAAAGTTTGTGCTTACATGGAGTTGCTTGCAACTCATAGCAACATTATGTACAACAGCTCTGAACCCTGCTCTATCTTGAGCCAATTTCATTGTCTCTAATTCTCTTACCCAAGTCACTGAGCTAATCCATCTCATCTAGGGTCTTCCTCTTTTGTGATGTCCCTCTCCAAAGACTTCTCCCTCCTGGCTACATGTCCAAAGTATGTGTATGTCAGACGAAGCTTCAAAAATCCTTGCCTCCCAGGAACAGCCTGATTTCACCCTCTAGGATGGACCTGTTTGTCCTCTTAGCAGTCCATGGCCTGTTCAGTATGCTTCTCCAGCACCACAACTCAAAGACATGAATTCTTCTATCATCCGTAGTCATTGCCCATCATAGTAAAGACCATGGCCTGGATCAGTCGTACCTTAGTCTCTAGACCAAAATCATTACTCTTCTTTACTCTCGAGAGGTCCTTGATAGCAGATTTTCTCAATGCACTTTGTCTTTTGATTTCCTGGCTGCTGGTACCAAGAGTATCAATTGTGGAACAAAACAAGCGGAACTTTTTAATATATATACTGGTTTACTTACAGAGTTAGTATACATTGTTTTTCACTACCAGATCTTTCCCCTTTCCTTTACCCACCTCTCCCTCCCCCCATCAAATTGTGCCACCCTATGATAAAGCTACCCCCATCCTCACCCCTCTGCTCCCCCTCCCCTCCTTGGATCCTCATACTCATTCTACAATAATGGTCTTATACCATATGGGACTGAGTTACTTCACTTAGCATAATGCTCTCCAGTCCCTCCCAAGTTAGGTAGTGATTTACAAAATCACTGTTCCTATGTGCTGCATAGTATTCCACTGTGTGAATGTACCATAATTTCTCAATCCATTCCATTGTGGCTGGGCATTTAGGCTGTTTCCATGTTCTTGCTATGTTGAATAATGCTTCTATAGATGTTGGTGTCCAAGTCTCTGTGTGTGCCTCAGTTCTCATTTTTGTGAGTCTTCCTCCAATCCCGACGCCACATTCCTCCTCTCAGATGAGGAGCCCAGCCTCTAAGATGATCTGTTCTGCTTATAGATTGAAAAGGTATGGAGAAGAATGTATCCCTGATGTACATCTTTCCTGATTTTGAACCATGGTGTATTTCCTTGCTATGTTCTGAGAACTGCCGCCTGGTCCAAGGATAGGTTTCGCATAAGCACAATCAAGTGTTCTTGAATTCCTATTCTAGAATCAGTTTTTTCAAATTTAGTCATTGCCAGGGACAAAGTATCTAGTAATCAGAGTTTAAACACAGATATATTTGTGCTTACTACTAATCTGTGGTAGACATTCTTGATTGGGTGGCTGATTGAGAGTATGTTTTTTTTTCCCACCTCTCCCCAAATTGATGACATAGAGAACTCATAGGTGACATAAGCGGCCTAGAAGTAATAAGCTGTGCTGCAGTCCCAAAGGAATTTGGAATTGTTGCCCAAATGCGTTTGGGATTGTCCATCCTTCTCCTTCAGAGCAGCTAGTTTAAATCCAACAAGCTGCGCTGCAGTAGAAGAATGAGCAATCTCCTCCCTTAAGATCCACTGCCTCTGAAAAGCCACTGGAGGGTCAGCTGTGGGTTGATTCCAACTCGACAGAACACAACAACTGCTCCCCAAATTACTTTTGTCTAGTTTTAACTCCAAAAATGGAGTCTTAAAAGTCTTAAAAGTGGAACTCAACTGTGCTGAAGCTAACATCCAATATCATTCAGATCCACTGAATTAATATGCCATGTGATGCTGAGTCCATTCCAATTCATAGTGACTCTCTGTCAGGAGGGACAGATTACCCAGTGTACAAAGTAAATATGCTTACTGACTAACCAATTACACCTAGATTTTACCATTACTTTAACATGATGAAACCCGGTTGAATTTACTGAGTACAGATTAGTAAACACAGGTAAGTCCATTTGTGCCTTGCTTCCTGGTTACTCTGCCCCTGTGTAGCAGAGTAGAGTGATGTTCTAAAAAGTTTGTAGAAGAAGATGGCCAGACTTGCCCAAACCAGCCAAACCCCCTGCCATCAAGTCAATTCCAACTTATAGCAGCCCTGCCAGACAGAGTAGAAATGCCTTGGATGGCTTTCCAAGGCTGTGAATCTTCAAGGAAGCCGACTGGCACATCTTTCTTCCATGGAGCAGCTGGTGGGTTTGAACCACCAACCTGATAGTAATAACTGAGTGGTTAACCAACCACTGTACCACTGGAGTTATTTTGGCCAGACATTAAGAAGAAAATTGTCCACTGTCCAGGAGACAATTCTGATGCATAATGACCCACCACTGGATTTCTGTATATCTTTTTATCCTTTAGGGAGCTCTGATTCACAGGGAATTTCCCTGCTAGCCAAAAGGCCACGCCTCTCCAGAGGTTCAAACCCACAAGCAGCTCCACCTTGGAAATACAATGGAGGATCAGCTATGAGTCAGTTAATACTTCATGGCAATGAGTGAGTATATCCCGTTGGCATAATTCATAGGGTGAGGCCTTGTCCTCAAGCTATCACCTTTTATAACCTCATGCCTCCACATAGGTTTGCCTTGGGTAGAATAGGAATCTCTAGGGAGCTCTGGTGGTCTAGTGGCAAGAAACTGCACTGCAATCCCAGAGGAACACGGTTCAAATCCACCAGACGCTCTGCCGGAGAAGGAGGCTCAATATCAGATCTGATTTGACGGTACACGCACATAAAATAATAATAATTTTTAAAAAAGAATAGGAATCTCTGTTCACTGGGAATAATTTCAAATGTTGCATCTACATTATGAGAATTC